CATAGGCATACAGCTTGGGCTTGCTCCTTGGTCATTATTCTTGAAGTTTTTTCAGTAGCCTCTGCCAAAAGTTGAAAGTAAATTTGTGATGGCTAGAGGTGTGATAAAACAGATATATGCACCCTCAGCTGCCTTTTTTTTTTGGGGGGGGGGGTGTCAATCATATACAATGCTCCAATCGGCTGGCATGGGGTAGAAAAGTCGGCAAAAATGGAATAAACAGGCAATAGAATTACATGATTTTCTTTCCTCCATACCCTCTCACTTAACATTTAAAACGGAGATTATTTAAAGCATATTCAAAATCCTTTATATCCATTATTTCGAAATTGGTATAAAGCATAATGAGAAAGATATCGTTCCTTTTCCTTAACAACCACTCACATGATGACAAAAGCCCCTACTTAATGCATATCCAGAATCTCGACATCACCATTTTAGTTATGTCTTCATAGCAACTGATACACTGCACAGCATAACTAACCACCACTTGTTCTGTCCAAGCGTGATCTTAAAAGTCCTGCTTTAGTTTAGTTAATGATGTACTTCTATTAAAAAGGCATATACAACTGGAAAATCTAGGGTAACAAAAACAATCCATCAGAGACCGTAATCAAATCACGCTGGGACACTCTGAAACCAGTGTAGTTCATGAAGAGTGGCTTGGCATAATTAACAGATAAGACTTCGCTTAAACAGGAATTTTAGTTGTGTAAAATCGCGCACCCCATAATAAACATTAAATTTTAGACACTTCATACTGTTTCGCAGCATCCACATAACAGATGGGCTGAACCACAGTCACAAATATCCAACTTCAAACTATAAAAAGTAAACTGTGTCAATAAAGACTAAGCATCAATGCATGTAACATGAAAACCGAAGGAATATGTTATGATAAAATCATTCTACTGATCACTCTCACAACAAAATCCGTCTTGTTACCCCCAGCAATTTGGCATATATGTCAGTTTTGCCATCAGTCCACAGATATCCTCATATTTTATATGATGAAAGACCACCCTCGCAATAATAACATTCAAAATTATATCCTAAAGATTATGATTCCTAAAAAACACTGAAATCCTAGAATCCGTTTCACTACATGTAAGCATAGGCTTAAAATTAAGATCTAAATATCAAGGTTGACAAAGTAATATAAAATAAAATTAATGCCATGGTTGTTAAAGCCAGCAATATAAATTAACACAACAGTAATGAGAGAGGTCGGTTAACTTTCAATTCATAGTCATTTCCCACTGGAAAGAACACTTTCTTCTCTAACTTAAATGCGGGAAATAAGAACACTAGGCTATTATTTGGAGAAAAATGCTTTGTTGTTAGAGTTGAAAACCACTTATATCAACAGAAGCCTTTGCTTTTGTTAATCTGTCCGAGGTAAACATGAATAACAGCAGTTAAACATTGCACAACAATATAACCTAAAATGTTCAAATGGTTCACACTTGATATGGAGCTTCCTCTAGGCCAGAGTTCAGGCCAAAGACTAGTACAGCCTCATGGAACTGAGGAACCCTCCTCATTTTAAGCCTCCCTATGTTTGGGAAGGAAACTTAGTTCAGTGCCATGTGATCTGGCTGCAACCAGACATATGCCCTACAAGTTTGCCACTAATTCATCCAGGAGTTCAAATCTAATTGACATTTTGGTAACACCAAGAATATGTGCATGTGCTCTCTGAAATTATATGGACGTCTTTCAGAGAAGAAAAAGTACCGTGTGCTTGAATGTGGCTATGACAAGCAGAATATGGCCAAGGAAAAGCAGGATGACAGAAAAATAATGCCTAAACAACTGAGTAACTAGCACGCATGATGCAGGTATTACTTGAAAGTTTACCTGCATAACAGCCAACTGATTCTCGATGGCATGGCTTCTGTATGATTCTTGGTGACCACCTGGAGAATTTTGAAATCCCTCCAACCTGAGTCCCCTCATCACAACGCATGCCACTGTCATAAACATCAGATCCTCTCATAACACATTCTCTTGCTACTGGTGCATGTCTAGATGGGCTTCCTGCAAGAACATGAGAATCAGCTGTGCTCTCTAGCATAGGTTCATTTCTTTCAACACAGATCTTCTTCCAGCAACAATCGTGTAGAACTGGAAACTGAAAACAACAAAAAATGATGAGGCATGATTGTGCAGGGAAAACCATAAAATTATAAGACGTACTCACACGACACAGATGCTATTTGAAATTGATCTCTGACCTGCTTGGTCATATTCTGTGAGTTTTGCAAGGTTTTTGACTTTAAAGCTTCCTTTGAGTTATTACGTAAGCTCCAACCAAATAATTGTATAGACTGTTGCAATTCATTCACAAATGAAGCTTCTAACGAATTAAGATATAAACGGTGTTGATGATCTGTCCATTTTGTTGACTGGTCGATCTGCAAAGTTGCCAGATTGAACAACTCAGAATTTCCTCAGCCATTATGAAGAAAGAGAATAGAAAAGCATTAAAACTTCTGAAGGAATCAATATTTCTTCCACTATGCTTTCAAAAAGTTCTCTGATTATATCTTTTTTCAGCAGTTCGTATGATGTTAACACCAAGATGGGAATAAATGTAAATTTACATGATTTAAGATTGCTAGCATACACCAAAATCACATCAACTTCAACAAACACGAAACCCTGTTTAAGCAATAGATGTGAAACCACAAGTACATGCAGAGAAAATACCAGAAAAGGATTGTCAAGTAACTTCTAAGCAAATTTTCCAATTTTCAATTAGATATTCAGGTAACCATACACCGTATTTCAGAAAATAATGTCATCAAAGAAGCTCTCGTTTGATGCAGACCACAAAGATGACTAATTCTCCAGCTCGCATAATAATAACAAAATCATCAAGGATAGAAGATGAAAGAAAGTAAGGGCATACAGAATCTTCTCTAAGCAAATAAGTTGCTCAATGAAAAACAAAAGCACATTTAGTGAGTCGAACACAGAGATTAAAAACGTGAAGAAGTTCATCAGAGAACTTCAATGGTCAAACATTAACGAGGTGAACGAAGCCATTTTGTTCCCGAAGGCTGTAGAAACAAAACATAGTTACAGCCATATATTACTAATATTCATTAGTCAAGATGATTTCAGTTTCTTCGCGACCCTCACCTTATTAAATTAATCCTTTACAAGTGTTTATAAACTTTAAATGTTCTCGACCCATTTATTGTTCAATTTAGCGAAGATTGTTCGGAAACTAGCTTATTAAATGTTACGACTAAATTAAAACAAGTAACTGAATGTCATGCAAAGCACAGATGCCTGATTAAATACATGAAACATAATTTATTCACTAAAATAACCTAAAGTTCGAATTCCCAATAGCTGTTCATACTTCATAGACATATTTTCAGCCGGCTAACCCAACAAACTCCAGGATGAACCTTCTATTTTTCAATTTTTCTTGAAAAACACAACCAGATATTTTTACAGAAAACAAAAAAGTGGAGTAGAAGGATTTTAAAACGAAAATATATGGTAAAACTTGTATTACAGGAAAAGGTGCCGCGCACTGCTGCGAGGAAGCTTTGGAAGCATCAGCCGTTATGGCGGATAAATCCGAGTTCATCTGAGTCAACTCATTTCCGCAGCTGTCGAACGGCTCTAGATCGGGCGGCGGCGAGTGAGCATTCTGAAGGATACCCTCCTCCATGTGAATTGATCCAGCAAAAAGCGAAGATTACGCGAGAATTCAGAGAGAAAATGGTGCTTTGAATTGTAGGGACGAAACCCTCCGGGGTGTTCTGAGCAGGGTCGCGAAGAAAGGGAGGGAAGGGGGGAAGGGACCGAGGGGGCCTCCTGGGACCAAAAAGGTTCCACATGGCGTCGCTTTTACACGTGTCAGTAGATCATCTGGTGCCACGTCATCAGGGTGATAATATCTTGGGCTAAGGTCAGCCAGATATTTTTGAGATTTATGGGGGTGGGTGCCCGCTTTCCGGACGACGATATTTTGGGGAGTCAGAGTGGAAGCGGTAACGTATCATTATGTCCGGAAACAGAGAGTGAAGACAATGAGCGGTTTTTGGCGCGTGTAACTCATTGGCTGCTTCCCTCCTTTTCTCGTACTTGCGCGCCGCCTCTTCAAGCACCCGTGCCCCGCACTTGCCGCCCCATCGCCAACGCGTGAACTCAAACAAACCTCTCCAATAGTCTCCAATCTCAATTCCCTTCCAAATCAGTGATAATTCTTTATATTTTTTCATTAAAGTATACATGATGTAATTTTATTTTTAATTTGATCATAAATATAAAATTTTAATTTATTTTATTTTTAATATTTATTTATTTTTTTAAAATAATCTTTATACTAGTTGCATATGTTAAGGAGTTATTGTCAATTTGTAATTCTAACACACATAATTAATAAGAACATTTTAAGAAAAATAACATCTATTTGTTATAAATAACTAACTTTTTTAATATCTAAAATTAGTCAACCAGGTTTTATATTAAAGACTAGAGTAATATATATAAGACCTATTTAATTAATTTGATTAGATTAAAAAAATAGATAAGTTAATTAATTATAAAAATATGATATGGTTTTTTGGGCCAAAATAAATAAATATCTTTGAAGGAGTTGTTGTTCATGGTGTATAGCATTCATTCGTTCTATTCTTAATGTAATAACTATTTAATTAATTTAAAAAGATTAAAAAGATTAAAAACTATTTAATTTTAATTAACAAAATTTATATCGTCTTTTTAAAATACCCAGTAAAAAAGGGCTAGACAAATAATTATTTGCCCGCGCGTCGACAAGATGGCTTTGTTCGCAACCCTGAATTATTAATGACACAGAAGCTTGCGACCCAAGGAAAAATAAAAGGAGATTAAATCTGCTTTTATTCTATTGGAATTGGAAGTTTGTAGTGAAATAATAATCCTATCTCTTGTCCTAATTATAAGACTTTAGCTATAGATTATAACGAGATTTTATAATTAGAACTAGAGGTAGTGCGATGAAATGGGGATGTGAGGGCTAAGAAACAGCTATAGACATATATGGGAGTTTTTTTTTTTTAAAACTAAAATGTTTGTATTCTCCTATAGGATATATTATCTCTGGTCCTAAATATAAGACTAATTGACTCTTCTGAAGAGATTAAGAAAATAAGTTAAGTTAGTTATTTATAATAAATAGGTGTTATTTTTTTTAAAATATCCTTACTAATCAGGTGTATTAACGAGAAATATTATTATTAAAAGGATTCTCTTGAAAAAAAAATAAATATAAGAGATAAAGTGAATTAAAATCTTATATTTATGATTAAAATAAAAATCAAATGAGATCTTATATTAAAGATCGGAACTAGGACACAGGAGTTGGGCAAACAGAAGGACACATGAGAATTTTCATTTGAGGTATTGCGGCCCGCTAAACATGAGTACGTCTTTTTTATTAAAACAAATTGGAATTTCGACTGGCCATATTGGGAATTAGGGCTGATGTTGACTCCCCACTTGGCAGCGACCAAGAAAATCGGATTTAGAAAGTTGAGTGCCATTATAAAATCAGAAGGTAGATGATTGCTGCCGAACCAAGCAAACATCGGCGCGGGACCATTGCCTCAGCTTCATCTTCTTCACGTCCCCATGGCACACAGTCGCCTCCACCAAAAATCCAGCTGTTAGAAAAATCAACCAAGATTTGCTAAATCATTTTATAAAAAAACAAGAAAAGAAAAATCTTAAAAGCAACATGAAAATTACTAAATCTCTATTTCTACAAAAACATGTTGTTATTTACAATTTAAGTGTAATCAGAATCTATTAAAATAAAAAACAATCTTAAAGTTATGATTTAGTAATTTTCAGGTCTAAGAAAAAAGGAAAACAATCTTTTGACCCAATAATTTGATTCTAACCCTGTTCCTTCACTTTAACTAGGTAAAACTCAGTTTTTATAATTTTGATTCAGTTAAAACTTGATACTTGAATTTTAATTTACTACGACTAAATCCTCATAGTTTACAGCAGGAGGTATAAGTCCTTGGATGACAATTACGTTTTTTCTCTTAAGAAGGACGGCATCATGATTGTATTATCAATATGCTGTAAGAGTAAAGTAGAATTGCTTTCACAGCAGACTTATTTTAATTCTTCATTTTTATATTATTTTATATAATTTTTTAATATTATATAAATTAGTTAACATATATAAAAAAAAAAATCTTGGACATATTCCATCAACTCGAAGATTCAACTATTCACTTCAATCCAGATCCTTAACAGGTTCATTCCTCCTCCTATCGCCGTATTGATTGTTCAATTAAAAAATTGAAGGGGCAAATGCATTCAATCAACATTTACTGGGTCCCGCATTAAAATTACAATAAATCGATCGATATATTTAATCAGTGGAAGTCATCACGCGTCAAAATCTCGATGCTACTTGAAGGCTTGGCATAATATACTTTTGGATGTTTGCATAGAATTAAAATCATAGTTTTAAAAATACTTTTACGGTGCACGAAATAAATATATCAGAAAATTTATCTCATTTTATAAAAAAATACTTTGAAGAAACACCTTACGTTTCCAAACACCAATTACTAGCAAGAACCATCTACACTGCATTTCTTGTCTTATTTTAAACATGCTCATTGCTCAAGGCTTTTATTTTAAGGCCAATTGTTGAAATCTTGTACTGGCGAGTTCTGTTTAGAAATTATTATTAAGGTTCTTGTGTTGACAGGACAAAACATTTTTTCTACAAATTATTATTAATGTTCTTGTGTTGACAGGATAAAACATTTTTTTACGGCTATACAAAAATTGTTGAACATTTGTTCCCTCTGATGATTGCAAGCACAGTTAATCTGAATGACTGTGAACAATGATACAATTTCTGATTTTTAATATAAAAACTTGTTTGACTTTTATTTGATCATAAATATAAAATCCCAATCCATTTTGTTTTTTATATTTATCTATTTACTAAGAGTCTTTATAATAATGGTAATTCTAACAAATACACTTGATTAACAAAAATGTTTTAAAATAAATAACACATTTATTATAGATAATTAACTTAACTAATTTTCTTAATCTACTTAAATTAATCAACTAGTTCTCATACTAAAAACCCGAAATAGTATAACATGTCGTTACATGTTTGGGCTTGTCTTAAAACTCAACATGTTCAGGATTATCGATTCTCAGTAAAATGCGCGACACTTTTTTCCATTGTTTTAGAAGCCTAATTATGCGATCAATTACGTACACGTTGAAATTTTGTCCATAATAAAGTCGAAACCTGAGTAAGCCATTTCCAACCAGCAGTATTCGGGATTTCCCTGGATAAATTTAATCATGTGCTCCAAATCGATTCCAACTGAATCATATCATTCTTTGTAATTGCAAGCACAAAACCAGAAGCTCGTCAGATCACTTCTTTGAAACACACTAACCTGCAATATGCTCGAAAAAAATCAAAATTAGCTACCAAACTGCAAGCAACCAAACATTTAAGTTCTATTTTACTTTTCTGTTCTCCTTTCAAAATTAAATCAAACATACAAGGACTTCATTTCCTGTATATTAATATACATATAGTCCCAATGCATTTTGGTAGGATTTCATCCAACTCGTGTTTGCTACTTATTGGGGCAGGATGCAGCATTAACTCCAGCGAAGAAGTAAACTTTATGCCTCTGCAAACAAGAAGCCCCATTGTCTAGCATGCACTTAGAATAAAGTAAATAGTAATTATAAAGCAAAAGTAAATTGTTGAAAAGAAATGAGGAGCCAAGATATTAAGCTGCTGGAAAAAAGATGATAAATGAATAAATAATAAGGCAGATAAATATTCCAAATAAAATTTATCAAAAAATTCTTTACAGCATTCTGGAGTCCGGGCAAGACAGTCCATTCACGTTGGTCAAGACATGAAATTAAGCAAATCACATTGTTAAAGCCTTGGATCATATTTGACCAGAAGTTCTGACGCACAGAGCTTAAGCAAAACGTGCTCCCATTTCATCATTTAAAATGTGCCACATGAGCTTCCAATGGGAAACCCAAAAATGACAAAGCAACAGGGGAACTTAATAGAATGGAAGTTATTGCATGCCTATTAATAATCTCTTACCGTCTGAGTCATCATTTATTATCACTATCACTGCTTCTCCAGAATGAAAAGGAAGGAAGTTGCGTCAGCACATAATCCATGAGCCTACCAGGAACAGATTTGTCTGCTGAAACCTTCTCATTATCACCTTCTTCTGCATCAAGATCCCGCCAGAACTTGATGATATGGAGACTTTCTTCCTCCGTTGACCTTTGAATGACAATCCTTGATGCATATCCCTTCTCCCTCATATAAAGGCATATCTCAGAGGGGTTGTTTGCTGTGAGGGTGACCATGTACAACCATCCCTTTTCTGACAAAAGATGATCTGCAACTGGCAATATCCTATCAATAACACTCCGGCCATTCTCTCCACCAGCCCAAGAAGCAGCAATACCCCCAATACCTACTTCGTCTTCAGGGGTAGGCACATATGGAGGGTTCACAACAATGACATCGACCAATCCTGCTAGACGCTTCTCCAGTCCTGATGCTATATCTGTGATTATCAACTCAGCATCAACCCCATGTGCATCCATTGTCTCCCGGGTCACTCTTACTGCTTGTGGGTTGATGTCTGTTGCAATATAATTAACAGCAAGACCTTCCTGCCCAAGCATAAGAGCCAGGGAAGTAATAACATATCCACTACCACAGCCTATCTCCATACACAATTCAGGGCAGTGCTTCAACAGGTTATTGCGGTCAGCTAGAAGAGCATCAACCAATGCAAAAGAATCATCACACGGTTCATAAACATCCTCATGTGAACTCATGAGACGAATTTGGGCAGTTCTAGAGGGCATCTTTTTTGAAGCCTTGCGTTACAAAATACTTGTTAGTCAAAATGGCTCAAAACTGAAGAAGAGTGGCAGTTAAAAAAGATTTTAGGTACTTTACCATTTCCTTGTTTATTTTTGTAGTGATTTGTAAGGACTTTGTTGACTCCAGTTCTGGATTGCACTGGTCCATGTCAAGAAGCAAAATTATGCAGTAGGATTTCTCCTTACTCAGTTCTGAGCCCAAGATTAAGAAAAATTAAAATGTTAAGATTATACACTGGTAATAACCAACTGTGGTGAAAAACTTAACTAAAAACAATAGTTACAAATATTACAGGAAAGAGGGAGTGAATAAATTATCATAAAATTGTCTTAAACTACAACCTAAATAAGATAAAAACAGAAACAAGTCAATATGTTCAATCATAATGAGGTTTTTACTAAACATTGTTCATCGGCCACTCTTCACTAATTGTCACTCGTCTCACTCCCCTTTCTAAAACAAACCGAACATAAGATGGGACCAGTCTTACTTCTTTATCACAATATAGGTTGACTCTCACATTCTTATTGTTTCTGGTATAATGATGGAGAGTTGTGAGACCAAGGTAGTATGGCATGTGTAAGCTCCAATCAAGCAGCATATATTGCTCAATGGAGTACTCAACCGAGAGAAATTTTCCCAAATTTTAGGGGAAGGTTCTTCACCCTACTTGGATGCCTATCACTTGGTACAAAAATGGTAGTCCATGTCTCAAAAAAGCACGACTTGTATAAGGTTCCCGCCAAGCAACAGCAAAAGGCCTGGTGAATGTCACAAAGTCTAGCTGCCTAGATATCAACTTTCCAAGGGTGGCCAATGCCAGTTAATGAACACGCCAAAAATAGTATGTGATGTCCCAAGTCCCACATCAAGTTATATGTGCTACTGAATGAGGCAATTCAGTTATGTAGTTCTCTAGCCTCAACGACTAGCTTCTGAGAGAAACCAGCTTCAATGGACATAGGACTGGTGGGATGGGGCTCTATGTCAGTTATACACATACGTTTTCTAGCATATGAAGCTCTGGGTAGATTAAGACGGGTCCATACTCAGGTAAAAAGTAAATAGATATATGATGTCAAACATAACAGACAATCTGGTAAGTTTAAGAAGAAAATTTATACTCAAAGTCAGGAAAACCATGAGTAAAACCAAGAAGCTCCATATGCCCTGTTAATGAAACCAAGCATTCACAAATCTGTTTGAACAGAGGATGTGATGCATCACTCACGACAAACTCATGTACAATGCCATTGACCTCAATTGAGCTCCAACCAGGAGTTTTATCTAATCCTCTCTCTCGCATTAATTTCCTTGCATGTTTCGCCTCCTTCCACATTCTTGCTTCTCCATACATGCTAGCAAGCAAAATATAGGTCCCACTATCCTGAGGATCTAACTCAAAAAGCTTATAAGCTGCCCTCTCCCCAATTGAAACATTGCCATGAACACGACAAGCAAAAAATAAAGCACCCCAAACTGCAGCATCTGCAGTCATGGGCATATTTTTAATAAGCTCCTCTGCTTCTTCCAAATGACCAGCTCTTCCTAGAAGGTCCACCATGCATGAGTAATGTTTAAGCTTAGGGGATATGCTGAATTTGGAGCTCATTTGGTTAAAAAATTTACGACCTTCTTCAACCAAACCACCATGACAACAAGCAGATAAGATGCCAAGAAAGGTGATCTCATCAGGCATCAACCCGCAATGAATCATTTCTGAGAAATAGGACACAGCATCATAGGCATTTCCATGAAGTGCTAAACCACAAATAATGGCAGTCCAAGTCAAACAATTTTTCTGTGGCATCTCATTGAAAACCTGCAGAGCCCTTTCAATATTTCCACTCTTGGCATACATGTCAACTAATGCGGTTCCCAGGGCAACGCCTAAAGAAATACTGTGTCTTTCAATATAATGGTGAAGCCATACTCCAATATCAAGTGCTCCAAGTTGCGAGCATGCTGACAAGCAGTTAACTATGGTTACTTCATCAGGTTTTATATTAATGAGTTGCATTTCATGGAATAGAGTCAATGCTTCTTTACTGAGCTTGGCCTCAACACAACCACTAATTATTGCATTCCATGGGACAACATTCTTCTCTGGAATTTCATGCAGAAGTCCCCGAGCAATATCCAGAAAACCAAATCTGGCATATCCTAAAACCATTGTGGTCCATGAAACGAGGGTCTTCTGTGCCATATTATCAAATAAAAGTTGTGCTGCCATGAGGTCCCCACACTTGACGTACATGTCCATAAGTGCATTAGTAAGTGGGATTGTCAGTTCAAGCCTATGTTCTTTGATGTGCTGATGAAATTTCCGGCCAAGATTCAAATCCTGCAGTTGAGAACAGCAAGAAACCATCCCAATCATTGTAATCTCATTTGGCTTCAGTTTCTCAGCCTCCATTTCCCAATAGAGATCCAATGCCACGTCTGCTAGCCCTCTTTTAACGCACCCACTAATCATGGAATTCCAGGTTACCAGGTCTCTCACACAACCTTTATCAAATACATCATATGCTGTCTCTAATTCTCCATGTGAGAATAGCATAGTGATCAGTGCATTGTGAACAAATATATCCAATTCAAAACCAAACTTTAATATGTGCCCAAGAATAGCAAGACCCAGAAAATTAAGAGAGGGACTAGAACAAGCCTTAAGCAACAAAGGGTAGGTATGATTATCAGGCCTCAACATACGATCTTGTAACATTCTTTTGTACAAAAGAAGAGCTCCTTCAGAGTTCCCACTCTCTAAATATCCCCTAATTGTCACATTCCAAGAAAAGACATTTGGGTGATGTGTATTGAGCAGAAGCTTTGTGCAATAACCAAGAGTTCGTGACTCAGAAAGGGCACAAAAAGCAATAAGGCGACTAGCCGCAAAGCTATCATAGATTAATCCAGTTAGTGTCATTTGTGCTTGGATTTGCTTTAACTGGATAAAAGATTTGCATCTTTCTAAGAGAGATAGGAGTCGGTTTGTTCTAACAAAACTGTGGTTTGTGTTCCAACTGATGGTTTTTGAATAAAGAGGCAAAGATTGAGTGTGTATATAAGAAAGAAAAGGGCCTGGGAATGAGAATTTGTTCAAAGCTGGACATCTGAGTTCGCCCAAATAGAGGATGAGCATTAGTTTCAAATATGCGTCTAGAAAGTAGAAGTACGTCTGCTACATTCTGTATTACAACTGGAGGGAGGTATTCAAAAAACACAGTGAAAAAACACAGCATTCAGCAAAAAAGATGAAGTGGATGACAAGATAGATGAACGGACCTCACTAATCGACAGCCTAGATGGGGGCATCGGACGAGGAGGTTTAGCCGGCGAGATGCTGATGAAACGATGGCGGAAAGAAACGAACCTCGCTAGGTCTTTCTCGCGGGTTTTATGAAATTGGTTTCAAACGAGGATGGCAGCAGGCGGCGGGTTTAAAACGTAGGAGGAAGAAAGGATGGATTTTTCATGAAGGCCCACGGAGAGAAGATATGGATGGAGGAGGTCCAGGAGGAGCCGGCCGAAACCAATCACCAGCCTTCAGAAAGTTAAAAAGAAAAAATCACTTGTTTATAGGTCTAAGGGTGTGTTTGGGTGACACCCCAAACCATAGTTTGGGAAATAATCTACCCAAACACCCCTTCCAAAAACCAAAACCATGGTTTTGGGTCAAAACCATGGTTTTGGAAAAAGCAAAATTTTTTTGCTTTTGGAGAAAAAAGGAAAAGTGTGAGGACTTATATGATATGTATCTTGTTATTTTTTTTATAAACATATTTTTTTATAAATATATTTAATCTTATATTTTATAAATATATATAAACATTAATTATTTATTAATTATATTATCTTATGTATTATTAATTATGTTGGTAAAAAACATATTATTAACAATTTTATTCCTTCAAATTAAAATATATCATAAAATCTATTTTTTCTGTAATTATCATATTAACTTATGTCTTTTTTTTAGTAATTTGTATATATAAAAGTGCTTCTGATAACAACTATCCAAACACTCTCACTTCTCAAAATCACTTTTTTACAAAATCTATTCTTCACAGAATCTATTTTCCCCAGAATCTATTCTCCAGAATCACTTTTCCAAACCACAGTTTGGTTTCATCCAAACACACCCTAAGAGGCCATAACACGAAGCACGTTAGTTACTCTGCCGTTTAGGCTCTGTTTGGTTGGAGGGTTTTTGAGGGAAGGGGAAGGAAGGAAAAGAGAGAGGATAAGTGTGTTTGGCTGGAAAAAATAAAAAGGAGGAGAGAGAAGAAATTTGTCTTTTAGTGCTCCCTTCCCCTTCCCATGCTCCCCTCCAAATTTAGGGTTTTTTAGAGAGGAGATAAATATTATGTCTAATATTGATCAAACTACTCATACTAACTTTTTAATATTCTAAGATTGTCCATCTTATTAAAAATCTTTTTCTCACTTCTTTCTCTTTTTAGCCACTAATAATATTTGATAATTATAATATTATAATTTATACATATCATGTATATTAATATATATATATCATAACCTGCGTGTGCGTGATATAATTATATAATATATACTCTTGGTCAAAAAAAAATTATATAATATATACATATCATGTGTATTAATACATATATTTATAAAATCAATGAGATAGAATATTAAATTTTTTTTCATGTTTTCTAATTTGTTTTAGTTTTATAATTTTTCTTTATCACATGTAAGTGAGGTAATTGGTTTTTTTTAAATTGATAAATTAAGAAATAATAATTTTGACATAAATATTGTAATAAAAAGATAAATCAGTTTAAATATAGATATAAGGGTATATTTGTCAATTTATAATTACCTTTCATCTCCTCCTCTTATGAACCAAACAAGAAATCTCCCATTCCCTCCTCTCCCCTCCAACCAAACAAGACCATGACCTCCTTTCTCCTCTCCTCCCCTTCTTTTAATTAACTTCCCCTCCCTTCCCTTCCGTTGAACCAAACAAAGCTTTAGAGTCCTGCTGTAAGCCAACCACTTCAAATGAACTAAATACGTCAATAAAAAATAACTAATACTATAACATTAAATAGGTCAAAAAAATTTGTAAATCTTTTACATATGTCTTGCTAAAGGTTAATCCGAAATTAATTATAATAATTTACTAGTTACGAACAAAGTTTAATTGTATAAGGAGGTAAAATTGAAAAATAAAAATGAAATGCTTTACGTTTCATTAAACTGACTTTATTTTAGATCAAGTCAAGTTGAGACTTGAGAGAAAATAACTTGGACCCAGAAGAGTGTATGATATAAAAATTAAAAACGTAGTTAATAATATATTATAAATATTACAGCTTATCCCAACCAAATTCTACCTAAAACACCAACTTAATTAAATCAATACGTACACTAATTGCAAGTGAAAAATAAACTAAAAATGATGAAATCATGAATCCTAATAAAAAGCTAACTACTAATAGTTGACAAAAAAGATAAAAAAAAAATTCATTATTGATCAGTTGATGCATAATTATTACGCAAGTGGCAGAGAGCAGCTGCAAAAGGGCATTAAACTCAAGATTATAGTGGGGAACGAAATGGATGAACAGTTATTAGAGCCATACAGTTTTGAAAGCTCAACACTGGACCTATATGTTCGGCAACTACATCATCGGGTCTTTGATCCAGAAATTAAAAACAGAGGCATTTCAATCATTTTTCAGTCTTAAACAAAAGTAGTAGTTTTTTAGTTATCCATGCTGCAAGCAAAATCAAGTTTTTGTCACAGAATTAACAGAGATTGAGCTTAGTAAAAGGAGTTAGTCTTTCACAATGTAACAAACCAATATTTGAATCTTCGTTAAGAAATTTGTTCAAATTTAATTCGTGATAATGCCTCAATAACAATATAGGAAGGTACCTATAGTTAGTCCAAAGAAAAAGTGTTTTTGCTACTGAAATCAGCTTCACATTTGAATATTAGTCATAGAAAATGACGTCGAAAAGACTCAACTTACAATTCAATAGAGCAAAAACAACTTTTACTTGTATTAGGAACAAATTCTACATTAACAAAAAGCAGCCAAAGGAGTAATTGCTTGGAAGGCTAACTTTTCACGCACAGTTTATAAAGCGTACTCCCTCGTCATCAAAATCTCTCCTTTTGGAAGCATCTGTGCGGAAACTGTGCGTGACTCTAGATCGTCTTCTTAGTAGTAGGCACTCTAATATATGACGCAATTTCATCATAGAAAATTAATGTATCGTGTGCAGTAAATAAGATCAGGTTTCAGAATAAGTGATGGAAGATTAATTCCACCGATCAACTTATGATGCTGCTCTCTAAAAGATCAAAGAGTGTTTCCCTGTTCAACCAGCATGAATAGCCAAAAGCAGAAGGAGGAGCATATTCCTGGGAGTGAGCATTGAGTGGGAACAGTACTGCTAGCTAGCTAGCTATGTTTCTTCAGAGTTCAGACCTTCTTTTTCATTTGTCCTGAGCATATTCTTGAGATTTGATTCGCCTTTTTGGCTTTTTCACGTGAATTCACATTCACCTTGCAATTGCATCATCTGATCTCCTACCTCTCAATAATTGAACCCCCCCCCCGCAACCTAACTACGCCCCCTTCTCTCATGAGTTATCTATTCTTATCAGAAACGGAGCATATATCCCTTTGTTATTTTAATTGAGATGGGAGAGATTGTCAGAGAAATATGATAACTTAATAACCCTATCAAGTCATTCATTATAACTACACACTTTGAATCATTGAAAGAGAATATAGAGACAACCCCATTTTTAACTAGAGCAACTGATCTTTATAAATGGTATATGGAGTTTGCAACTGATAGTTCTCTATGGCTTCACACTGATCTAATCATAAGAAAAAGAGAAGTCCGACTGCTGAAATTGTGTATAGTTTATGATGAATTCCCAGTGAATCACCTAGAAAAATTAGGCAACTCACTTGTCTCCTAACGATAATTTAATTTAACCCATTCTTTAAGTTAAATACATAATTTTCAAATAGTGGTTTGCTTAGAATTTACTATAATTATATGTGATTTCAACCTCATCTACTTTTGAGAAAAAAAATTGATAATAATTTTATGAGTTGTAAATGAGACTATATTAAAATCCCGAGCACATGATCAATAGTAAATTTCGGACAAACCATTCATAACATGCAGGTAGATGACTTGAAAATATCATTGAAGAACCATTAATAAATAATCTCGTTCACAAAGTGGGCTATATATCTAACGTGTTTATTTATTTATTTATTTTTTTTCTAAAGTATAGGTATCTTCTTATTAGAGATAATCCTATTCGAGGTACTGTCAGACACAAAACGTGGGTACCTCTCCCAGTAGGAATTCAAACTTTGATTTGTTACGTTGTGAGGGATTAGCTCCTTCCGCTAGACGCAATACTTGTTGGTTCTAACGTGTTTAAATTGACAAAATGTGAGTGTATCCTGAGGTGGATTTTGTTAACGCACAGCTTAGCAAATGGACTCACGCCTGCACTACTTCATCACTAGCAGAAAGTTCTGCAGCTTCACGTGCTCCCACTCCCCAGAATATCACGCTTATGACTTTCATGGCAAGCATATGGGACCCAATCAGATACTACACAAATAAGTGTCGATTGTTCAACCTTTTTTACGCGGGCTTTTTTTTTTTTTTTTTTTTTTTAAATTTTTATATAAAAATTAGATAATTAATTTAAAAATTTAAGAAAATTAGTTAGTCATTTGTAAAAGAATGTGTATTGATTTTTTTAAATTATCCTATCTAATACATGTACATTGGACTATCTCTTAATGAAAAATTCCTTGTAATATACTCCTCCGGTCCTAATTATAAGACCCAATTGACTTATTTGAGGAGATTAAGGAAGTAAGTTAAGTTGGTTATTTATAATAAATAAGTGTTGTTATTCCTAAAATATCCTTGCTAATTAAGTATATGGGCTAAAACTATTATTATTAGAAGGATTATCTTCAAAAAAAATACATAAATATAAAAGAGAAAATGGATTGGGTCTTATAATTAGGACCAAATAAAAAGTCAAATTGGGTCTTATAATAAAGACCGGAGGAGTATTACTACTGTATATTGTCAACTTTTCTCTGTTTCATATTTTTTGGTCAAACATTTTTTACTAACATGTTTTCAAACCCCGTAAAGTGTGTCGGGTCATGATTCTTCGCTTGAAGCTAGTGAGCCCACTCTCTCTTGCTGTTTCATTATCCTATTCTTTTTTCCAGAAAGAATATACATAATTCAAAATGATTATTTCACGTCAGCTAAACACCCACTTACATTTTCATAGCAGAGAAAATACTAAAGTCATGTAGGTTAGATATTCCCAAGCAAAGCAAATGTGGGAGTAAATAAAAAAAAAGGGAATTGCCGATATATTTAAGAAAAGCAAAATTAAGCATATATGCACATGTAAGGTTTATTGACAGGAGTGATTTGTGGGAAGGATATACATAAATTTATTGTGAACAAAAGTAGATAGGAAAAAAAAAAAAAGAACATAAAATAACTTACGATAATGCTATTCATTAATTGTTGAGACTTTCAAAGCGATAATATATATTATTATTATTAAGTGATCCGTGATTGGCCTTTGGCCCATAAAAAACCAAGGATAAGTCATTGGCTTCGCTTTCATCGATGAGAAATAGATTAAATAAAAGCATCACCAGCGAAAATTTTGTCGGAAAGTACGATCTAGCGGCGGAGATTGTTCCACTTTTCCTAATCTTATTGGAGAGACGTCGCATCAGCAACTCAACTCCTCTCTGATTGGCCCACGTTTCCAAATCTCTCTGGTTATCCACCCCCATTTTTCTAATATTTTAATCAATCCATAAAGTGCCACAAAAATACAAAATTCCCACCTTCGGTCCCCGAGCTTCCTGGTTAAATGGCCGCCTCGTGTCAGAGAGGCTCAAGACACTTGTCGCCTCCACCGTCTCCCTCCGTCAAAGATCGCTTCCACGCGACACTCCTCCTACTCACTTCAAGGAAGAACAGAAAGTAATTTTAAGGGAAAAATAAAGGTAATTCTTTTACCACCGGGGGGGAAAATCTTATTTTCTTATTCTCTCTCTTATTTTTACGCTATTTATTCTCATTTGTTAATTTTTTTTAATGATGTCTTTTCTGGGGATTAAATTGAACTGGATGCTTTCTTTTGTCAAATTTCTTCCTCACCAAGGGACTTCGGGGCCGTTGGAAAGGAGTTCATCCCTGCTTTGGCCTTGTTGGTGTGTTTGATTTTGGCCGTAGGTGGAGGAAACAAGGGAGTTCCCATAATTGGCTTTGTCGTTTGAGAAAAGGAAAAATGAAGCTGGGTTATTGATGTATTAGGAAAGGGAAATTTCAGATAAAGTAATCGCAAAATAGCATAATCCATGTTGGTTGTCTGGATAAAAGTCTAAAAATGGCTTGTTGCTTGGGAATAACGAGTTAACTCTGCATTTTGCAGCGTAGACTTAGTTCCAACTATAACACAACAATAAGTTTTTTCTCAGTCGACGATTTAAAAAACAAAAAAAACTTTTTAGCCATTTTTCGGTTGAAATCGAGCGATATAATAGTTGAGAATTACTTAATTTTGGAGTTGAAGTTGAAACCGAAAGAATTATAATGCAGATACTTTATCTGAGCTGCGATTATCGGATGGTCATTACCTGTATGATGGGGTTTTTTCCGCCTTATCATCGTACTTTGTTTGGATTCATAATATTGCAATTGTATGTACGGCCTTCCAAATGACTTTGGAAGGACAAGCTCCATTATTGAGTTAGGAGAAAATACTCTCTCAGTTCCATTTTTGGGCTTCGTTTTTTTCTTTAGGAACTCGTGGCTGGTTATAAATCGTAACTCCGCAAGATTGTACATGAAATTATTCTCTTGTTCTTCTCGCTTTAGTGAGTGTCCAGTTTCATTTAACCTCGGAATAATGGCTGGCAATCTATTTTGATCCGAGGTTTATTATGAGAGAGGATATCAGAAGGTCCCTGTCTTTTTTCCTGTCACAGAGTTCCCCTCTAAGAAGCTGTCTTTGTTCGATTCTTATGTAAGTTGTTCAATGAATAGATTCTAATGTATTTGTGAACAGTTAGATCTGAATCCAGGTGGAGCCAACAGACAGAAAGCACCAGCTGAAAACACCACATGATCTACTCACTACTGGTATTAGTTCAGCCGTACGATTGCCATGCAAGAAAAGAGTTTGCTTAAGTAAAGCCTCTTGCGTCGCGTCAACTTGAAGAAGTCTTCATTCAAAATTCAAACAAGATGAGATCAAACATGAACTTCAAGGGCTACGAGGATACCAACAACCCCAATTCCATCGGCAATAATGGAAGCAGGCCGCCTGCAAATCTCTTGAGGCAACCTTCAATATACTCCCTCACTTTTGACGAGTTTCAGAGCACTATAGGTGGCCTTGGAAAGGACTTCGGCTCAATGAACATGGATGAACTCTTGAAGAACATATGGACAGCCGAAGAGACTCAATCACTAGCTATGTCATCTTCAGCTAACGGAGGAGAAGGTAGTAAAAACAACATCACCATCGTCAACAACAACAATTATTATAGTAATCCTAATGGTAATTTGCAGAAACAAGGGTCACTTACTTTGCCAAGGACTCTTAGTCAAAAGACTGTTGATGAGGTTTGGAGGGACTTGATGAGAGACAGTAGTGGGGGTAACAGTACGAAAGTTAATAGTGGTGGGGTTGTTCCTTCCGCTTCTGCCATGCCTCAGAGGCAACCAACTTTAGGTGAAATAACATTAGAGGAATTCTTGGTAAGAGCAGGGGTTGTGAGAGAGGACAATAATAATGTGCCTCTTCAAACTGGAAGACATCAATGGTTCAATAACGACAACGCTGGCTTAATGCTGGGGTTTCAGCAGCCAAACGGGAACTTGGGAAATGCTAACCCGATGGTGAATAGCAATAATCCAGTTTCCAAACAACCTCCCACTGTGTCATTGCAGGTAGGTAGTGGTACTGGTACTCATACACAACACCAGCAGCCACCGCTTTTCCCCAAACCGGTGAATGTGGCTTTTGCGGCGGCGGCGGCGGCTCCGATGCATTTGGTGAATAATTCTCAGATTGACGGGAGGGGAGGGATGATGGGGGTTCATCAGGGAGGTGGTTTGACGGTGGCGGGGTCTCCGAGGAGTCAGATATCGCCTCCGGCGGAGGGTGTGACAAGGAGCAAGGGGGATCCGTCGTTGCAATCGCCAGTACCGTATGTGATTAACAGGCCCAGGAAGTGCAGTGCGCTAGAGAAAGTGGTGGAGAGGAGGCAGAGGAGGATGATTAAGAACAGAGAATCGGCTGCCAGGTCTCGGGCTCGCAAGCAGGTCAGTGTTCTGTATATTTTCCTGTAGAGGAAAGAAGATTAAATTTTGTTGCAGTTAAGATTAGTTTTTATGCAATAGTAGGAGATAGACTAGTCAACTTTTTAATTGTTGAGTATTTTTACTCTTTCGGGCCAATAATTATTGAGCATGATTACCTGCTTCATGGTGGTCAAAGACCTATGGTATCATAATTAGAAAGGAAAATGCTATTTAAAATATGAGAAGGGAAGTTTAAATTTAATTTATTACTTAGTAATCATTACACTGTCCTTATCATTAGATCATTACTACTTTGTCCTTTGTTCCTAGTTACATTAGCCCCGTACAACTAGTTTACAAAAATTTAAAAAAAAAAAATTAGTTATTTTAGTTAAGAGTAACAAATTTCTGCGTAATTAACTTCATCTTGTCAACAACTTGTTTATTTGGCTGGAAGGGAGGAGAACCTTTTTGTTTAATTGAATGGAGAGAAGGTAACCCTCCCCTCCTCCTCTTTACTAAAGCCCTTCTCCTCCTTAAAACCAAACACTGGTTAGTATAATCCCTTCTCTCTCTCTTTCTAATTTGGGAACACTTTCTCCCTGTTTCCGGAGTAAGTAATCTGGGAACACTTCCATTAATAAGGTATTCTTGTAAGAAAAATAATAATAAATACTGTAGACAATAAGAAAAGGGATCTTATAGAAAGTAACAACCTAAGTTGCTAAAAGGCTACTCTGATCATTCCCACAGGCTTTTTTTTTCTTTCCAGTTTTAAACTCTGACACTCTGCTTTCCCTCCTCCATAAATGCACAGTAATTCTATTTTTCTTCTCTTGGAAATGCCAGGCCTATACTTTAGAACTGGAAGCTGAAGTCGAGAAACTCAAGGATTTGAACCGAGAGCTAAAACGAAAGCAGGTAGAGAAAAGAGCCACATCCTCATCAGTAGTTACTTTGTGACACCCACTTTACCCGATTTTGACTATGTTTCTGTCAATGCAGGCTAAATTTATGGAAATGCAGAAGACTAATAGCCAGGTTTGAATTTTCATCCTCGTTTGACCCACCCACGTCAGTTCAATAAAAGACATTAAGCTAATGTATGTCCAAATAATTTTTTTTTCTTCCCTTTTTGCCTGATTTAACTTTGGCAGGCTTTGGTGACGCTGAACGGGGCAGGGGGAGGCAAAAGACAGTGCTTGAGAAGGACACTTACAGGACCATGGTAGAGACTCTGGGTTGGTCTTTTGTTTTCCAAGTGACTGTTAGCTAGAGGAAGCCACTGTGATAAGGATTGGAATACTAGATACCAGATTAGGTTGGTAGCTTTATGTATATTAATGGTTGTATCTTTAGATTATATTAAAACTCATGTATTTGCTTTGTGGTGTTTGATTTTCTAATGTGTTCACATAGGACTGTGTAGGACTAGACTGCTGAACTGCTTAATATCTAACCTTCTTTCTACTGAATCTCAGTTTTGTTCACGAGTATTTCTATCATCTGTTTGCCAAAAAGGCCAAGTTAATTAATCTATACTCATAAACATACATAGAAGCAAGTCTTCGAGATCAAAACATATTCCATTGACTCCCATAGGATGCTCAAAAACTTCTATCAAAGCTGATTTAGCGATGGCAGATGCAAAACCTGTTACAGTGGCAAGTCGCTCACCAGGACAACATTGTAAAATTAACAGTATCAATATATATTTTTTTTCTGCAGATGCGACTAATGAAATTTGCTTTTGCTCGCTTTAGAATATATGCAATAATCGTTGCTTCAATCTCTTCAGAACACATGAGCGATTGGTGATTAAGGGAACCTGTATATCATATAAAGACAGGCTGGTCGTAGTTGCAGGATATAGGGCTACGGAAGGTTAATATATAAACAAATTTTAAAAAGGAAACGACATTCACCAAAAGATCAGAAAGAATCAAACTACGGATTAATTGATACAAACGTACAAATGCCCATCACTTTGCATTTGTTCTCTTGTACTCTTATCTTGTCCTCTCTGATGGTCTTTTCTTGTGTGCCTGAATTCTATATCCACGTGATTGCTTGGTTAATCCTTTAAGCATTCAACCGGCTCGCAGTGCCTCTCCATTTATCATTGCAATTTCAGGCTTCCCTCTTGGTTAGATAAAATACTACATCTAGTTTTTAATATAAGAACTAGATAGTTAATTTAAAAAGATTAAAAAAATTAATTAAATTGATTAATTGTAACAAATATGTATTAACATCCTTAAATTATCCTATTTAATAATGTAGATTAGAATTATTGCCTGATAGGAGTTGTTATAAGGAGAAATTGTCAAAAAAGACTTTGGAATTACAAAAACGCAGATAGGGACCCTTGACAACTTCACTTTGGGTTTTGATAATATTTTTGACAACTTCATGACATATTATTATTGTCAAAACCCAAAGTGAAGTTGTCAAGGGTCCCTATCTGCGTTTTTGTAATTCCAAGGTCTTTTTTTACAATTTTTCCTTGTTACAATCAATAAGAATATTTTTAAAAAATTATAAATTTAAAATACAAATTAAATTAAGATTTTATATTTATAATTAGATTTAGTTCTTATATTAGGCATCAAAGCTACTCTTCCGGTCTTTAATATAAGACCAAATTGTTGAGTTGGTTTTGGTCCTAAATATAAGAATCATTTCTCATATTTATCAATTTTCTCTAAATTACCCCTATGGATACTCCTTCAACCATAATCAGTACAAGAGGGAGATAGAGTATTAAGAAAGATGATTATTGTATTTTAGGAAAAATGTGTTATTTTTTTAATAATTTTCGAAGTTTTCTAATCTAATCAAATTAGTTAAATGAGTCTTATATTAAGAATCGGAAGAGTATTACTTAGCATAGACGGAATAAACAAATCCTCGTATACCAGTCTGCAAACAGCCACCAATCTTTGGGTTTATTTATTTAAAAAGAAAATCCGCTCATCGTGCATCAATCCATCAATAAGCTAATTTTAAGTTTTTTTTCACAAATATGAGCCCGTTTTGAGATTCTAAAGCTTCACATTCCAGTGTGGTGCCTGGGTAAACGGGACGACTCCATTTCCTGAACTTCCACGCGGGGCGTTATTTCTTACAAAGTTTTTCATGAACAAAATAGTTTTATCTCTTGACAGGATTCAGTTTAATAAAAAGAGGTAATTTCTCATTCAGTGATGAATTAAAATTTAAATATTTATTAGGAGAGGTGTTCATATTTAATATCTAATATTAAATTAAATATAATTTTCTCTAATAAGAAGATAAAAAATAGTTCTATTTATTCTCAAAAGAGATTCTTCCAAATTTCAAGTTATAATCATTGCTAATTTCAATTTTAAATATAAAAAGTAAATAAATAATTTATAAACATTAAAAAAATTAGTTTAATTAATTAATTTAAAAAAGTGGGTTGGCCTTTTAACAATTTGCCCAATAAAGTATATGAAAACTCCCTTTATATATGTGCTTAATAAGAATAATTTAAAAATTACAAAATGAAAAAATAATATGAATTAAAATTTTATATTTGAAACCAAAATAAATTTCAACCACTTTTTACATTTAGGACCGAAAAATACTTATTTTTAAGAATATCATGAAACAGAAAATACATAGATGACATTATCTTTATTATTTTACTAGTTTTGTTTATCCTTTTTCAGCAGTGTCTATCTTCTCTTACGAGGATGGAACAGCTAATGAAATGCTTAAAAGTTAAAATTACGTATTGTTCTTTTCCATATGATCTTATCCGTGAATCTGTAATGACCCAGCACAGGCAGAAATCAGGATTCCGTTAGGAGCCCGCAATCGATTGGTGTAGTCTTGGGAACTGGTTGTTGTCAAACTTGACAGTTGAAAGATTGTAGAGATGCTACGCCTATTGGGCTGGGGGAGAAGAGCGACTTCAATCTCATCCAATTTTTATGGAAGTTCCCGGAGAGGAAGCCCCTGAGATTATTACCAGACGGGGCTTCTGCTTGGGCGTCCTTACTGATGGCGTCGACCGCAATTCCGAGGCCTTTGCTACAAACTCTAATTCCATGGCGGACTTGATTTCCGAACTCCAATCTCATGTAGCCAAGGTTGCTTCTCTATTCCATTTTCTATTTGCATCTGTTTCTCACAGTCTGTGTACGTTTTGGACTAAAGGTTTGGTTTGCTAAAGGTACTTTCGGGTGGTGGAGCCGAGGCAGTGAGGAGGAACAGGAGTAGGAATAAGCTTCTACCCAGGGAAAGAATTGATCGCCTAATTGATCCTGGCGCTTCATTCCTTGAGCTTTCACAGGTTTCCTTGCAAAAATAAATTATCACATCTCCTTTATTGTTTTCATTGGATTTGTGGAAAGCTCTAGTGAGTATGCGAGGTGGAAATTTTGGGGGAAGCAGAAAACATATTCATAAATTGCATGAATGATTAAAGGTTTGGCAATGGAATTTGGAAAGCTGATGTGAAGTCCGTTCTATATTTGAATCAGGCTCATAATGCATATATGTTTATTTAGGTGATGCATGGACCTGGGAATCTTATGAGTTTTTAAATGACAAAGCTTGCAGGGCATGAATTATATGGAGAACCTCTGCCTTCTGCCGGGATTATTACTGGAATAGGTCCAGTGCACGGGCAGCTTTGTATGTTTGTCGCAAATGATCCTACGGTTAAGGGAGGGACTTACTATCCCATTACTGTTAAGAAACATCTTAGGGCACAGGAGATTGCTGCTCAATGCAAGTTGCCCTGCATATATCTTGTTGATAGTGGAGGTGCTTTCCTTCCGAAGCAGGCTGATGTCTTCCCAGACAAAGAAAACTTTGGAAGAATATTCTATAACCAGGCTATCATGTCGGCTGAAGGCATTCCACAAATTGCACTGGTATTAGGTTCTTGCACTGCGGGGGGTGCCTACATACCTGCCATGGCTGATGAAAGTGTAATGGTCAAGGAAATGGAACCATTTTTTTGGCAGGGCCTCCTCTTGGAAGGTCAATTCCTGGCACTTTGATGGCCCTAAATCCCTTGTATTTATGCTTTTTTTTATGTGTGTCCTCTCTGCCTCTAGGACAAGCGTTTGCTGTAACTAGATGATTTTATAGGCTGCAACTGGGGAAGAGGTCTCCGCCGAGGATTTGGGGGGTGCAAGTGTTCACTGCAAGACATCAGGTGTTTCAGATTATTTTGCTCAAGGTATTTAGTATGTGCATTCTCTCCCTCCTACGCATTCACAACCAAATCTAAAGTGACAAATGAAATCTATTGAAATCTTATCACTGACCATGTACAATTTTATTCTTAAATCTTATTGTAGATGAACTGCATGCACTGGCTCTTGGGAGGAACATCATCAAGAACTTGCACATGGCTGGGAAAGACGTCTTGGGAAATGGATTGCAAAATGTAAAATATGAATATAAAGAGCCTCTATTTGATGCCAATGAACTTCGCTCTATTGCTCCAACTGATCTTAAGCAGCAATTTGATATTCGATCAGTTATTGCTCGGATTGTAGATGGAAGTGAATTTGATGAATTCAAAAAATTATATGGCACTGTAAGAGTATAGCCAC